CCAAAGCAACCTGAATCCACCACCCGCGTTGATGATGAACATTTGATGGAGAGTCTACAAAAATTCAACAGCGCATGTATGTATATGAATTCCCAGGATAAAGCAAAAGGCTGATACAGGATAACAGGAATAGCTAATTAAGGCAAGAAAACTACTTCAGGATAATTGTCACCATCAATCTTCTGCAACCGTAAGACGAGATCCCTTGCAGCCTTTGTAAAATTCTTTAAACCCTGATGTGACAATAATGAATAATAAGAGGTATTCACACCATGCCAGACTGTATTCAAAGCCACCTCAAACAATTAGTCGGATAAACTAAAGAGAAGCTAACATACAATGCCCTGAACATCCAAGATTGTTGTGCTTGAATCAATGTGCCTCTTTGCAGCAATTGTGCAAGCTGCAAACTTAATAGCAAAGCATTTCTCAAATTCTCGGACATGGTATTTTATGTAACGATCCATTGTTGTAACCTGCATAACTTTGTTAGGTTCCACTTTCCCTAACCTTTCAATGTATACAGGTCTTCCCTCCTTATCCACACCATGATAACCATGAGGGTAATAGTTCAAAACTTCATTCAGCTCTTCAAATTCAAAATCCTAATGAAAACATTGAACCCAAACATTAGAAATAATACTGAAGGAGAAAACGCAATAAAAACCACATTCCCGCTTACAAAAACATCTATAACCAGAATAGGAATTTATTGGGTTCTTTACCTCCATAATTGTGTCAGTACCAAAATCCTTCCTCCATTGAATCATATCAGCCCACATTTGCTTTGCTTTCTTGATATCAAAATTCCTCGCTTTCAAGAATCTACATGGAATTTCTAGAGCCTTTAAGAAGTTGAAACATTGTGGGAAACAAGACTTTCATGCATGTACTAGATCAACCATGTAAAGGTACAAAGGCCTTAGATAATGTGCAAAACAGTATGGCAGCTATAAAACAGTAACTAAAGATCCTGAGTAAACCCACCATAAGACCCCATAAGTACTGAGATCCCATCCATATGAAACATAAGTAGGTCTTCACAATGCCATTTGCCCATACTGTCCCTACTAGATTATTCACTACAGCTGTAGTGGTTGCTCGTATTGACATAGTAGTTCTCCATGCAAAAATAAATAGAACCTAATTCAAAAATTGTAAAGGGATATTAACCTCAACATCATATGATAATCGTCAAATTTTTCTGGTAATAATTCATCCAAAAGCAGTGCCTGCCGGAATGCATCAACAGCTTGCAGCTCTGCCGCATCTCGAATATCCTCAATTGAGACAGAGCTGACTCTACCATCACTCTTTCTCCTACTGCTCTTCTTCTTCAAGGAATGCTTGAACTTTGACGATGCATTCAGAGCTTTCTTTTTCAAAGAACCAATTCTTGTCCTCCTCTCATCCTCAGAATTCTCAAAGTCAGATTTTCTCTCTCTTCTCTCATCATTTCCAGAGGAACCCTCAAAGCCTGTCATGTAGCAATAGCAAAAGCTGATATAACCATGCTAAAAGTCATACAAATAAAGCTCCACCCAACTTAGATTCCCTAATACTTGAGAAAAAAATAAAGCATTTCCATGCGAAAAATCTCATAAAAGTAATGCTCTACCCAACTTAGTTTCTCTAATATTTTAAATGACGCCACAGTGGATCAGAGAAAACCAAAAAAAAAGAATGTAACGAAGTATTCACAACGCCCGAAATTCAGATAAATTCAGATATAAGCGGGTGTGTAAAAGCGGGAAATGTGCAATTGGGCTAAAAGTCCCAAAGCTCTGACACCTTAGCATACCAAGACTTAGCCAGAAAATACATGCTCTACAAACAGCAATCCATGATAATTTGTTCTCCTACTTCGGTTCTCTCTCTATCCTCTTTTTAACAACCACACCCCCCCAAATTTCCTGTTGGTTGGGGATCAATGTAATGAAACTTACAAGGGCAACTGATGATCAAGTGAAATCTCAAAACAAGAAGCTCAAACCATAGCTATCGGATGATAAAACCGCAGAAAGCAGTAAAAATCAAAAGCCAACTTAATCAGAGTCCAGAGACAAAACTGCGGCTCAAACCCTAAACAAAAAATGGAGAAGAAACAGTAGTACAATTCCACTTACAAGGTCTAGCAAATCTATCCAGTGGTCCCGACATCGGTGACGGAAATCGGGAGAATGAAGACGACCTCAGCTAAGCCAAGCCGAGCCGAGCCTATCAATTTCTGTAGGTAATCAATTGGTCAATAACATCAACCTGCGTCGGCTATAGCAAAAATAAACAATCTAACATTGGAAAGATGGCAGCTAAAAGAACCCTTGGTTTAGGAGTAGGAGGAAAATTCCAACTGAAGAGAAGAGAGGAGAGAGAAAGTACCTTGAAATTGTCGGCGCTGATCACGAGATCAATCCGAGGGTAATGAATGCATCAGATTGTAACGGAACCAAAAGATAGTAGTGGTACGTAAAGCAGAGGAAATAAAAGCGAAATTAAATAAATAAATACAACGATGATCTTCGGGGTAAAATATCGCCGGATTGATTGGCGGGCAGGAGGATGAGATGGGAAAAACCAAGGACTTTTTGGACTATTTTTAGGAAAAAAACTCTCTAATTTTTTAAGAAGGAGCGTTAAAATAACTAGTTAAAATAAATTGGGGGCCAAGGTTAGCTGAGAGCTGTCCTATTTTTTACTGCCTACGCTGTGGGATAACCGGGGTGTGGGACCTAGTGGCCCAAACGGAGGGGCAGAATGACACGTGGCGGGAAGGATGGGATGAGGAATCTTGCCAGGCGGTAACAGCCAGCACCAGCAGCAGACCTGCCAGCGGATCGGTAAACTGCTTTCTTGGCTAGGGAAGAAAACTCGAAATTCGAGTCATCTAATACATGAAATTCGAAAGATCGTCTAATTTAATTGAATTTTATACATACATATGTTTTTTTTACTTTTTAGTATAAAATGTCTAGTTTATTCCTTATATAAAATGACTTTTAATTTTTTAAACTTGAATCAAGTTTATACTATTTGAATCCGAATTCAATTCAATTTGATTGTACTCCGATTAATCTTGGCCTTGTCAATAATCAGCATATATTATTGTTATTTTTCTTCAATAATGTAATACAACTACTATCATTCTCCGAGAAAAAGATTATTGTAGTATCAAATAATTATAGAAAGCACTTTTCCAAAAAAAATAAAAAATCAATTATAGGTTAAGTAGATTCTAAACCATTTTAACTTTTTCTTAACTATTAAAAGCTCTAAAGATTAATGCAAAATAATAATTTAAAATTTCAAAAAATAAAAAAGTTTAAGTTATTTTTTAACCACATTTTTGTTTCACATTCCAAAAAAATGTTACAGTAATCTTTCGTAAAACCTCTTCGAAGAAATGTAATCTAAACAACCTCGGAGTTTTAACTTTTTATTGAAAAAGAAAAGAAGAAAATTTGCCCTTTAACAAAATTGGCGTCTGTTTGGACGTTTTCTTGATGGTGATCAAGTGATGATTTGATATATCCTACCCTACAAATGTCGTCCCATTCTTCCAAAATAATGATAATTAAAAATCAGAGATCGGGTCTTCTCATTTTCTTCTATAGAGGGAAAAGTTTTTTAAAAAAAAAAACAGAAAAAGAAATATTTGTTGGGGTCTAAACAATTATAGTTTAGTAGCGCTTAGCTTCTTATTCCCCCTTTTTCTTGTCACGGTGATAGCATTTTTATAACATAATTTATCCTATTTAGCTAGCTTCTCATTCTTTTTGTTTAGCTTCTTCTTATTCAGTTAATGATCACGTGGCCTCTTCCTTTTTCTTTTCCCAAGCGAAAAGTTCAACTTTGACTCCTTACTTTTCCTCCTTTTTACACTTTTGTATTTTGACCCTGCAATCGCGCCAGTCACTGAAAAATGAATTCTACGATTTCAACAGTGAATAAAATCCTTTATAAGAATTACAAACGTAATAAAATGAACAAACGATAAGTTTGTTTAAAGATAAGTTTGTTTATACACTGATATTATATACACAAAACGGATCTAGATACATGTCATATATATAAAATTTAATATTTAAATGACACGTTTTACAAAACAAAATTTATTTAACGTTATCACGGTAACACTCTAAACACTCGCAAGTTTTACAAAGAGAAAAAAAAAACAAATATTAGATGAGATATCACCGCATCACTAGCGGGGCAGGATTGACAGCGAGTGGGGGACAAGTGGTGGGCAAAGGAAAGGATGTTTTGGATATTTTGAGCAAACATTTTTTTAGAGCAGTTAACAGTAAACTATAATAAACTACCTCTTTAACTTTTTTTTTTTTTTAAGGAGAATTAGCGATGGTTCTCCACTTACCTCCTATATCTCTTAACTTAATAATTTATATGGAATAACTTTTTTTTTTTTCCTACGAATGGAGTTAGCAGCAAAAATGGTGTCTACTATGAGATTTTGTAGAGAAATTTCTAAGACTTACAAAAATTATGATCACTGTCGGTTTTATGTGAATCAACGCTAACCAAACAAATATGAAAAGAATAATAAATTTTCCCTGACTTGACTTCGCTTTATTGTAAAATAAATTTTTTTTTAATATAAGTTTCTCCATATCCCACTAAATAATTGGGCTTTCCCCAAACAATTTGTGTGATTAAGCAAAACGGGGATGCACCAGATGACAGCAGGAGTCTACTTTTTCTCGCGTGTGGCGTAACAAATGATGATTATATTAGAGCGAATTGCGCGAAATGTCACTAAACTATTTCAAAGTGCCGGTTCTGGTCACTAAACTTTTTTATTAGCGCGAAATGTCACTGAACTCGTAAATCTGTACCATTTTGGTCACTCCGTGTATTTGTGCCGTTAGGAGAGACGGAAATCAACTTTTTGAGGGGCAAATTCGTCTGTACAGCCTTTTCTTTGAAACTCTCCAACCTAAATTGTTTGTAGGAGGATGGGTTAATTCATAAATCTACAGACACAAAGAACTCTGGAAATGGGGGAGGTAATGGGATCTTCTTCGAGGTCATGGAGGGAGGAGTTACCTAGTTTAGTTGAAGATACTGGGATAAGTTTCAATGGCGAAGTAATTGGAATTTCGACGCTAGCATTCGAGACCAAGAAATTTGGGGTTGATTCATCGGGAATGAAACATCGGCGGAGCCAGAGAGGTTCAAGGATCAAATCAAAGGTTTTGCCAATGCTTGGGGCGAAAATGGTGGTGGAATTTGGCAGAGGCTGTAAGGATGTATTTCAGGAGACCTTGTTGACTGACGACTCCTAGATTGTCAAGAAAACTAGAGCCCATTTGCACTTTTTACTTGAGATGATTGCGTTTATGGACTCGAAGGATAAAGTACACGAAACTGAAAAGTGCTTGGATTCTCAATTATGGCATGCCTGTGCCGGTAGTATGGTTCAAATGCCGCCGGCGAATTCGAAAGTCTTGTACTTTCCCCGGGGACACGCGGAGCATGCTTGCGGCAATGTGGATTTCGGGAATTGCCCTCTAATTCCAGCCTATACCCGTTGAAGAGTATCTGCTATTAAGTTCATGGCGGATTCCGAGACTGACGAGGTTTTTGCGAAAGTTCAGCTGATTCCCATGGAGGGAAATGGTGCTGATTTTGATGAGGACGGAGTTGGGGGGGTGAGCGGGATGGATAACCGAGAAAAGCCCACCTCCTTTGCCAAGACACTGACACAATCAGATGCAAATAATGGGGGAGGCTTTTCAGTTCCAAGGTATTGTGCAGAGACCATTTTTCCTCGGCTGGACTACTCTGCAGATCCTCCTGTTCAAACCATCCTGGCAAAAGATGTTCATGGGGACACTTGGAAATTCCGGCATATATACAGAGGGACACCTAGGCGTCATCTTTTAACAACTGGATGGAGCACTTTTGTGAACAGTAAGAAATTGGTTGCTGGGGATTCCATTGTTTTTCTTAGAGCGAAGAATGGGGATCTCTGCGTTGGAATCCGGCGTGCAAGGCGGGGGGTTGGAGGTGGACTTGGACCGTCATCGGGGTGGAATGCGGCAGGAAGGAGTTGTGTCATGCCGCACGGGGGATTTTCAGCATTTCTAAGGGAAGATGAAAGCAAGTTGACGAGGAACGGTAGTGAAAGCAATAGTGGAACTTCAGTTAGCATCAATCTATGTGTAGACGAATTTGCCCCTCAAAAAGTTGATTTCCGTCTCTCCTAACGGCACAAATACACGGAGTGACCAAAATGGTACAGATTTACGAGTTCAGTGACATTTCGCGCTAATAAAAAAGTTTAGTGACCAAAACCGGCACTTTGAAATAGTTTAGTGACATTTCGCGCAATTCGCTCATTATATTATATCAAGCGCAGGTCCAAAATCGATGGTGCCGGGCATTTTAAGGCGTATTTAAACACTTAAATGTGCAACTTAATTAAAGGGTCAATGTAATGTTATCACCGTCATTGGATAAAAAAATTCGCTACCTTGCTAAAATTAGTCCTTACTGATTTTAGAAGATATCAATGTATTAAGCTGTCTATTTGGAGTATACTGACCCGTTCAAACTTGTCGATTTATTTTGAATGAGTTTAAATGGGTATGCAGTCAAGCCCGTTTAATTGGTGAGTAGTGGATTAACTCGACTCATCCATTTATACCAATTCAAAAATAACTATATATTTAAACTCAACTTTTAGTGAAGTGTAAAGCAAATAAATTTGAATTTCTTACCAATTTAATAATAATAAGATGCCGTTATTTCTTGTCAAACAACATGTGAAAATTTTTTTTAACAAAAAAAATAAATTTTTAAATTACTCATAAATGGATAATTAGATATATCTATACTCATTTATTTAAAATGACATAATTGAATTGACTCAATTATACCCATTATTCAATAATAACCGGTTCAAACCCGTCAAATTCACGCATCTTGACAGTTGACACCTCTAGTTAGGAGTCGTCACATTATTCAAACCATGATTAGATCAATTCAGGTCAACTAGATGCAGCATTCAACTCATAACTTTCATCGACAATTTGATATATTGCCCCAAAGTTTGGATTACTCTCGTCATATATATTGACAGCAGGTGTCGTGATTAAGATTATGGTGAAAAAGACAACGACCTAATTCTTCCTTGCTGGCAAAAATCAAGAAACCATTTTCGAAGGTCAACCATACATTCGTCCATTAGAATTCAATTCAGCAGAGAATCGAACCAGACGATGGAGATCTTGACAATTTGTAGGAATATGTAGATTGAACATGACACGTTTCACAAGCGCGACCAGAAGATAGGCGCTGTGAAAAGAACGAGGTGTTCCGAATACTTCCATCAATGGAATGAGTATTTAACTATTTTTCAACTGTGATTTTTTTTCTTCTTGACATTACACGGCAGGAGGGAGAAGAGGGATAGCGCCAAGTGGATCGTTGAGACCGATAGAACTAAACCATCATCAAACTAATCAAACGGTTGTTTAAGAGTACCTACTGAATTTAAAAGAAATTATACATGTTACGGAATAAGTGATAGAAGGTAACATTCGAATTATTGACCTCGTCTTCTTGACATCGGACGATCACTTTTTGAAGTATAAACCAAACAAAATGGGTTAAACTTTCACCAATGGACAATGAGTTGCGATCTATATTGCAGCTGGCCAAATGTAACTACTATCCCCTGGCAATCTAAAACTCTTTTCATCTCTTCTTGTCTCTCTCTCTCTCTCTGGTTTTTTTTTTTTTTTTTTTTTTGGTTGGCCCTTTTTTTCGGTTGGCTAGTCCTCTTTCTTGGAAAAAGACTAGAGGGTTAACAAGTTGATGATTAATTCGACGACGTGTTATAGAAAGTGCAATCGGAGAAGAGGGGGAAAAGATGAGAAAGCAACCGAAGGGACCCCAGCTATTGAGAGAGAGCTGGCATTGAAGACTGCACGCTTTGTTTCTTTAATTTGCTATTCTTTTTGGTCAGCCATAAACATTAAAAACAAATACTGCTATTAGCACCTACACCAACACCAACACCAACACCATCCTACCAGGCTGGCTCCTTTGACGTTTTTCCTCTAATAATATATTACTAGTAAAAAACAAAAAATGAATAAATAAAATGGCTCCTTCAAGGATCCCCTGAGCTTTCACATGATTACGAACACAAGAGTAAATTCCATGTTTTAATCGCAGCTACCCAGATAGAAGACCTCTCCGGGATGTTTAAACCTATACTTCTAATTTTCAAGTAAAAAAATCTTAGGCAGTAGCATTGGTATAAATAATTTTCAAATATTTTACGAGAGACATCTTGATATATATAAAAAATCACACAAGTATTTTGGATTTACCCCCGGGCATTGGTTGGAGAGTGGAGACTGGCAATCCACTTTTTGGACCATTTCCTCCTCTCTTTCACCCTCTCCGATAAATAGAAGATCTTGAATTCAATATCTCGTACTTACAATCATTTTCACTTAAAGAAATGAAAATTATAAAGTTCGCTAATTTTATGTTAAATATAATCTAAATAAAATTGTTCAGGACTTTTATTTGCCCAATTAGTGATATTTTATAGGTCAAAGACTTAATTGGATAGCAAATTTCAGCCAAGTTTGATTACTGAATTTTTGAGGAAATTGAAGCGTATAAAGAAGAGTTCCACATCATGTGTCTAGAATTTGTCAGCAATTAGGGACCGTCATCATGATATGGTTCCCTATAAAGAACAATGAAATGATCGAAGCACCAACAACAATATACTGTTGCATAATCTTTTTAGCGTTAGCTGTTAGTACAAGATTTTCAATAACGCGGAAATCAGGATTTCCTTGGCAGGTTCAAACAGGGAATTAATGTAGTAGAAGGTTTTGCCAAGTCACTTTTAGCTGGATCAATTCGGATGATTTAGGCTGGAATACTGGATCCCTGTAGTTCTTCCGTTCTTTGTACTTTGTTTGGACAGAGTTCTGTTGCGGTCACATGATTTTGTCAAAGCCAAGCCCAACATAACTACATACCACCATTGATGACTGTAATTAACAGCCTTTTTTTTTTTTGTAACTCGGAACATGCCCTGACTCTAACCCTTAGGACCCGAGCCGACACACCAAACCGGAGGAGTGCGCCACGACCCCATGCAGCGACCCCGGGCGATTCATGGGAGTTCAAATCCAGGATAAAATTCGAACCCAGAACCACAAGAGTCTTTAAGAGTCCGTTTACCGCTGAACCACCCACGTGAGGACGTAATTAACAGTTCTCCTTTCCTTCCCTCATCCGCCCTCCCTTTTTTTAAGGAGCAAGCAAATGTGGGCCCAAGTTTTTTTTTAAATTTTTTTTTCTTTTAAATTAGGAGGAAACCATTTTCTCCCACCAGCTGTTTATATGGTTTGAAGCTGAGTTTTGGTTCGGTGAAGAGTTTATGGACAACAAAGAGATTTCTTTCAAAAGTGAGAATAAGAAAAACCGACGGCCCGTTAAGTGGGAGCCTAATAGCCAAACTGGCATGATAGACGGCGCAGGTGTCATCCTAGCGAACCAGCGACATGCAAAAGCAAGTCTGCAGGCTCATCTGGTGGGCTTGGCCCATTAAGAAAAGAAGCCCGTAGGTTGTTCTTCATTGGGTACTACCTATGGCTGCAATTACTCAAAAAATATCTATCCTACAATCCTAAATTTGACACTCGAATTCTAGCAAGTTTTAATTGATCAACTTGTGGGGTATACCATAAGTTGTTCAATAACCAATTAAAATTTATCAACTAGATGAACAAGAGTCTAGTTTGCAAAACAATATTAATGTAAGTGAGAGTTTCATTTATTTATTGTAACTCACTTTTGCCTCCCTCTTATCTCTCTCTTTCTAACTGTATAATCTTTGATCACTTACCCATGACTACTCTGTAATTTTTCCTTTTCCCCATCTGCTCTTCTCTCCCATGGCACTACAATATGCAGATCCCTGCTTCCTCCATCCCCTTCAGTTTCTTCCATCTCCTCTCTTGTAGTCAATCCACCACCTCTCCTTCTCGACTTTTCCTCAATTATTTAAGCCCTTCGCCTCTTCCCCACTCCCCCTCCTCCTTTCATTTATTATTTTTCTTTAGTCTAATCTCGTGTCGCATAAAAAGAAATATCATTGCAATTAGGAAAGAAAGTAAAAAATGATTAACAAAATTACAAATAGTAAGTTGACATACGCTACTATAGATGGTCTCACGAGTCTTTTTTTTTTACCAGTAACGATACATTGTATAACCTACTCTATCATAATCTAGGGGGAGAAGGAGCCTAAGGAGGCTTGTGTTAGGGGCTAGTGAGTATACAAACCTAACTAGACCAAGAGAGTGCTATGACGCTACCCTTAGATTTTTTTTACTGCAGATGAGGTTTAAACCGTCACCTACAGCCCAAGAAGGGACTGTGGCCACTGAGCTAAGCTCAGTGGTTGGTTGTCTCACGAGTCATTTAGTTGACAAATTTTAATTAGTTATTGAATAACTCACTAGTGAACCCACAAATTTCTCAATTACTATGGTAAAGTTTGCCACCTGGCTTAATAGAACCGCTATTGTATACAAATGCTAGTGGGACCATTGGGATATGGAGATTCATGTTTATCGCATACTAAGAGAATGTATGGACAATTTCGATTTTAGATCTTGTAAGTGTTCCATGAGTTTAATTAGCTCAATTATGTTATTCTTTTTAATTTTTTCGGTAGGGGAGAGTGGAATACAAGACATGGAGAAGGAAAATAGGGAAATTATTACTATTCTCCTTAATTTTGAACAAAAACATATAAAACTAATTAAGTCCAACAGTAACACTTGGATTTTTAAACGGAGCAATTAAACATACACATCTTAAAAATTAGCATACATTTCGTTGAAGAAAAACTTGATTTTCTTTTTTTTTTAATATATATATATGTAATGTAAAAATAAAAATAAAAAATTGTACGTCCACATTTTCAGTGATGTCGGTTCAATCTCGGTCAATTCCAAAACAATGTAAAGTAGAATTCTACCGACCAATAAAACATAAGGATAAGGAAGATCGAATGATACGGCGTTTGCCTGTAGAGTTCAGAGTTCAAGTTTGGAAGCTGTAAGCTGTAAACATGTACTTATGCATGTTTGGTTGTACCTAAAAATTTTTTTTTTTTTTTTTAAATGAAGGTAGACGTTTCATATGGAAATCCATGCATGGCCACTGGAGTGGTTTTAGTTAGCATTCCCTATTCCCTGAGCGGAG